AATTTAAGTGAATATTTATTTTATTTTTGACCCATGTTTTTAAATAAAAAACTAATATTATTTTTGGATCAAAATTAAAATTAAATATTTTGGTTGCTTGTTTGGCAGGTTTTCGTTTCTTACTTAGTATGGTTGAGTGCAGGAAAATGGCAAACCTGAAATTTGCGGATATGCACAATCTCGCTATTGTCCTTGCAGACCCTCCAGTGGTTCATTCCAATCTTAGATCAATGATTCATAGACTTCGGGAGTGTTGTTTGGCGTGTGCAATTACAGAAAATCCTGTTGTCTATCAGAACTTAATTAGAGAATTCTAGGCGACTGCAAGAATGAATATGAGTGATGGCGGTCAATTTACTGTCAAAGCTACTGTTCAAGGTCGTGAAATTGTGGTAAATGAAAGCTTTATCAGAGAGACACTGTTGATCGATGATCAACCTAATTACCCCACTGAAATTTGAATTGAAGACACTCAAAGAATTCTGAGGAGAATGGGTTATGAAGACACTTCACCTCCAACGTTAAAGAAACTTTTGCATCCGTATTGGAGATTGTTAGCACACGTACTTGTCAGCTGCATTTCACGGAGGAGATTGGGAGCAGATGAGATCTCTCAAAGGAATACTGGTGCCATTGTTTCTCTCCCTGCAGGAACAAAGTTTAACTTTTCGAGATTCATTTTAGATGAGTTTGTCATCAACGTCCAAGCTTCAGCTAGGGATACATTCTTGTTATATCCTAGATTCATTCAACTATTCATCGAGGCTCAATTTCCGTATATGAGAAAGGAAGGTGATGTTCTGGATATGAAATCATTGGGTCCCCATACTGTAGGACTCATTAAACATAATCGAAAAGGAAAGCTTATATTTTAAGGAAATTATTCGCTTGAAAGGTTTGGAAAGTTCACCGAACTAAATGAGCCTACGGAATCCTTTGGTTCATCTGACCAGGCCTCTTCTGAGGCTGCATCTTCTGAGAAGTCTTCTCCAAACAACATTGTTAATGATGTATCTGAAGATGAAAGTACTGAGAAGGAAGATAATCCCACCCCTGATGCTCATGAGACTGAGGAACATGGTGATATGTCTAATCTTGCTCAAGGCGATGATTCATGAATGCATGTAGAGTTTGCAGAAAATGTTGAAGGCAACAATAATGATTCCTTTGATGATCTTAATCTAATTGGTTTTAATCATGATGCTATTAGAGCTTCTCTAGCTAGGAGTGCGAACTTAGTGTCAAATGTGAATCTTGACACTATCTTTAATAATATCGATGATGTTGACCTTCCAACAACTGAGACGAGGAAGTCAAATGAAGTTTTTGAAACTGAAACCCCTACTTTAGATCAAATGGATGGTGTTTCCATTTCAATGGGGACGGTTATGGGATGTTCCCCTCCTATTTATCTTCCTCCTACCTCAGAGCCATTTGTGAGTGATTTTGCAACGATACAGTCTGGTCAACCCTCGTTGAAAAGACAAACAAGGGATCAGAGGAAAGTGATGTATTGCAAGTCTCGTTAATGGCCTCCCATTACCTACTACTACTATTACCAGTCTCCCCACAACCAAACTGTTTTTTGTCGGTCCAAACACTACCTTTTAGGTTGGTGGTTCCTCTATTCCACCAGGGTTTACCCCTCATCGATCTGATCATGATGAAGGTTCTGTGAGATTGGCCATGCATTTGGCTGAGGAGCAATTTTTGATGCCTTCTCCTCATGGTAAAGGTGTCTCTATAGGAGATGGTCGATATGGAGGTGATAACTTAACTATCTCAGGGTTACAGATGTAGATATTGGTACTGATCCAGAAAACTATGGAGCTTGATATTCAAGTGTAAGAACATAAAGCTGAAAATTCAAACCTTACTATTCAAGTGTTTGAGCTTCAGTCTGATAATTCGAAGCTTGGTGCGCAACTTGTTGGTCTTGCTAAAGACAAAGATTTAAAAGTCAAAACAGATCTCCGATCTTCAAGACCACTTCAATCTCTTGACTTCAAGCTATTTTGAGTTAAAGAAGATACTTGAGGAAGACTTTGGTGATAAATACCAGACATCTGCTGATGAATACAAGATAAATCTTCATGTTCAAACCTTTCCAGTCACTCTGCCAACTGGTCAAACTTCAGGACAGGCTAATCGTGTTGAAGACGAGCCTCCTCAAGCCCCCCATATTTCAAAAATTATTCGCGACGCCCAAGAAGAAGCAACTAAGAAAGGGCAACTGTTGTTCAAAAGAAACCCTATTCAGAATATTTCTTGGGATGAACTAGTGATTACATTGACTGATCTTGAAGTTGTGCGTTTCAGAGAAACTTTTGGTGACAAGTCAGGAATTTCTCCGTGGTGATTTCATGATCCTCTCAAGATGTGGATAGTGGTGAGGAAAAGTGGCAATTCTGAACTTTATAGAGATAGTCATGACTTCAGTTCATGGACTAGAGTCAATTTGACTGAATTGTCTCAAGCTCCTTTCTCCAATTTAACAAACAATCCTCAGGCGACTCAGTTTAAGCATTTCCTTCAAGATCAAGGCAAGAAAGGATTTCCAACCATGAATAGTGCTGAGTTTGTTATAGAAGAGCACTCTGATATCCTTGATCGTATAACTGATAAGCCTTTGCAAGTCCTGATGTGGCCTGCAACCAAGCAGGTCAAACAAATCCCGATACTTTAATATTATCAAGATGGATCTCTAAGTTGTATGGAGTGTTGGGTCTTTGATGAAGTTACTTCTGCAGTGGTCATCAAGCTCAAGAATCGGTGCATTTGACTCTACGATCGAAGAGATTTGTTACAGTTTCGAAAATGGGATATTCATCACTTCAGCAGCTTTCAGATTTTGGTTGTAGAAGATGCTGCGAAGGTGTATACAACTATGGTTGCTGAGATTATCAACAAACAGATGTGGAATGGGGCTATGGGGCAAGCGGATTTCATGGTAGTTACCAAAGGTTAACCTCAAGCTAGGCCAAACCAAGGGGGAGATTGAAAGGCTCGATTTAGTGGTTTAGTCTAGGCTTTACAATGTAATAGTAGAAAGTGTATTAGTAGTGGGTTTTGGTTAGTTTGCGGGCTAGTTTACGGTTGTAAAGAGTTTACGGCCGTAAACACCTTACGACCGTAAACTCCTTTCGGTCGTGGTCCCTATAAATAGATGGTTGGTCAGACATCTAAGGTTGTTGATGCTTTTCAGTTCACGGTCTTTCATCGAGTTGTACCAGACGTTTATTGATATAAAACGTGTGCAAGCTTGGTTTATTCTGTCTTCGTCTCTTTATTTGCTTTATGTGATTGTGTTTGCTATTGATCTCTGGTAAGATCCTTTATTTAGACTTTACAATAAGAAGTCCAAAAAGATAGAAGAAACCTATTATGTTAGATTTGATGACAATTTTCTAAAGAGGTATCAACTCACTGCGAATCAATCAGAGGAGATCTTCCAACAAACGAATCAAGCAACCACTCCACTGGCCAATCTCTATGAAGAATTCATGCTATTATTCGATTAGCAAGAGAAAGCAATATCTTCAGAGTCCAAAGCAATAGACAACAAAAAGGATGAATTAAAGAAACTCATTGATGAAGCTACGTAAGACCTTGAAAGCGAACCTCAAAGTCCGAAAGAACAAACAAGCTACACTCAATTCCTTGGGGAGTGGTCATTATCAACCTCTACACCTAACTCACCTCTCTAGGGGGAGAATTCTTCTCCTCGTGTGACTCATGAATGTCCTGTTAAGGAGGAAGATCCAAATCCAGACATGGAGAAATTCTCATCATTCGAGGGGGAGAATAAAAATACGAATGATGGTTCGAATGAACAATTTGAATTTGAAGAGATGAATGCTGAAATGGATCCATCTTATGATCCAAATTACCCTCTACTCACTAAATGGACCAAAGATCATCCAAAATCACAAGTCATTGGTGAATCATCTGTAGGATTTCTTACAAGACCTCAACAAAAAGGAAAATAGATTACACTATACACTAAAAGTCTTAACAATGCAACGACTACGAAAGGGTGAATTTGAAACGACTACTTTTAAAGGATAAGATTTGATTTGGGAGCATAATGATTTGAATAGACGCCTACTTTGCTGCCACCTGACACACGTCTTTGACGTCACAACTGTATATCACACTTTTTTAGGTGCCTTTTTCAGTAACTGGTACACTCTCTCTCTCTGGATTTCTCTCACTAAACAAATTGTATAAATTGTTTTGTCACTTCATCTCTCCTAACCACTCATATATTCTCTCAAAGATTTCCAGCAATCAAAGCAAACTACTGTTCATCTTCTTTATCAAGAAATCAACAATGGCAGGATCCTCTAAAACTCCATCTACGCACAATCAAACAACACAATCACCCCTTCTTACTATCAAGCCAAATCAAAATCTAGTGCTCGATCTTGATCCATTCAAATACAACAACTATCTTCTTCCAGTCGTTGAATGTTTGAAGTACTCTCCTCTTGTAACTGCTCTGACAAAGATGGAGAATGTTCCGATGTCTCTTTTTTCCAGGCTTATTCATCTGCAAGTTACATCAAGGAAGAACAGAGGATTATGTTTGAAATCCAAAATAGACAAACTTCAATCACCAAATCTCGATTATATTCTATTTTAGGGCTTCCTCAAACCGACGACATGATTAATCTAGAATCGATCACCAATGCAGCCCTATTGGAGATGTTCTATCAAATGGGGTATAAAGAAACCCTAAATTCCATCTCTAAGTTCCAAAAAACAAATCTACCACCACAGTGGAATGACCTCTTCACTTTATTGTTCAAGGCATTTTCTGAGAGGGTCACCGGCTCCGATTATGGAAGAAAGGTCTTTATGGTGATTATCTATGGGGTTTATATAGGACTCAATGTCAATTTTGGGGCTGTTCTCTGGGCTCAAGTTATTTAGAGCACTCACTCTACTTCCCGTCATAGTGAAATTTCCTATGCATGCTTATGGGCAGTCATTGTTCAATGAGCAATCAAGAAGCTTCATATTCTGGTGATACAGGATGCATTAGTGGCTACTTTCACACTGTTGGGAGCATTGTTGTTGACAAGTCAAAGTTCTCATTTGTGGGTTCGATTCTAGAAGCAAGGTTCCTTGATGTGCCTGTAGCAAGTAAAATTCTTGAAGCCTACCGAAAACTTCCTTTTTCAGGGTTTTCCTCCCTTAACTCCAGAGATGCAATCCAATATTGTTGAAGTAGACAAGCCTCAGAAAGGGGGGTAAGAAATGGGAAAAGACAAAGGGTGATCAAGAGGGACCATCTGCTCAAACTCAAACCCCAAATAAAGGACAAGTTCAGACTGATCCACCTGCACCAAAGAGGCGAAAGGTCAAGAAGCCGTCTCGCAAGTCCATGTCCCCAACACCAATTGGAAGTGAACATTCGTAGTTTGACACTCAATCAGATGTCCGTATTGAAGAAGACGAGCCAACACAAAACAAAGATACTACAACAACTTCCCAACCAAAGCTTTCGGCTCCTATCTCTTCAAATCCAGAGGTAACTAGAACTTACAATGATTTCTTTCCATCTCCTTCTTACTAACCCAAAACCACCACAACACCAATAACTTTTGCACCATACCCCCACCAGTCTTTTCTCAAATACAAGGTAGTATTCCTCTATCGACTCCATTATTTTCTGATTCCACTACTCCACCAACAACATTAGTTGCACCTCCTGTTTCTATGAATGCATCTGATGCGGGGGGCAGGAGCATCATGTTTTACAACTGCTCATATCTCACTACCCATTTCCCCACTTCGCCAAAACGACCCTGATATGATTTACGGGGATGGTGGAGACGACTTCTGTAACATCCTAATTTTCAAGAACAAAAATTTCATTTTCAATATAAAAAATTAGAAAATCGTTTATAAGAAAAAAATCATCAATTCATATCATTTTATCAAATCTACAATCACATGTCTCAAAACCATATCATGAAAATAGTAAAAATATTATAGTAAAATCCCAACAATGTCATAGTGTGAAAATCCTGTGTGAGTGTGATGCTCAGCTACTGCCCCGACTCCTTCCCCTTCGCTGAAGAGGTACCTGAAACAAAACTGAAAACTGTAACCATGAAACTTACTGAGCTCCCCCATCATACCACATACCATATATAACACATACTGCTAGGCATATCTAGCTGCCTGACCTACCCTGCTAAGCATACTAGGGTGCTCAACCTACCCCTGCTAGGCATACCGGGGTGCCTAACCTACCTCTGTCAGACATACCGGGGTGTCCGACCTACCCCTCTGTTTTATCTCAACCGGTTACGGGGACTATTTCACCTTACTACAACCACATAAAATCATAACATAATCATACTGTTTGGGATACCTGGGTGCCCAACCTACCCCATGGTCATATCATGCTAGCACATAATCATAACAGATAACAACATACCAAAAAATTATCACAAACACAATTATATCTGCTATAACTCTTACTAGTGGGCCGGCCATGGTGCCTAGGACCCACTTCTACTGGAAAGTAACTTACCTCAATGTCGTGAAGTGTCTAACTGTCCTCGATGTCGAGATCAACTCCTCACAGCTCCTACACATAACAAACTTCCTTAATTACCATTTCATACACTTACCCCTTTCAAGGGTCAACTTAGGTCAAAGTCAAAATCAAGGTCAACACCCTGGTCAAAGTCAACTTTTGCTTAAAGTCAACATCAGCTTGACTCAAATCGCCGAGTTGGTCCCCCAACTCATCGTGTTCCATAATCTGCAATGTGCTAAAAGCTTTGACCCTACTTGCTAAGTACATCAAGGACTCATCGAGTTCTCCTTTGTACAAAATCAAGACCATCTATAACTAACTCGCCGAGTTCATCCTTGGACTCGTCGAGCCCTTCTTCATGCAAGATGGCACATCTAATCCTGGACTCGGCGCGTTCTCCATGAACTCGTTGAGTTCTTCTTTATGCAATTGGGACTTAGTCTTGAACTCGTCGAGTTTGTTCTTGAATTCGCCGAGTTCCATGACCTTCAGGTCCATAACAAACCAAACTGGCCGAGTCTCCTTCCAACTGAACAAATATCTCATTATCAAAAGAGGTTTGGGGAAAACTGCGACCTAACGTGTCGAGTAGGTCCTTCCACCTGCATCCCAGTTTTGCCTCGGCTCGATGAGTTGGGGCCTCCAACTCGCCGAGTCCCAGAGTAAAATGAAAAAATCCTTATTTAAAGTACATACCAGGAACCAGGCACTACAAATCTCCCTTACTTATTTTATATTTCTTCCTTAAAGTCTGCTGCTGCGTCTGGAAAAATCTGGGTAATGCTCCCTCATCTCGCCCTCCGGCTCCCAAGTCCATTCGGAGCCCTTGCGGTGCTTCCATTGCACGTTCACCAGCTCGACCCTCTTATTTCTGAGATCCTTCGTTTTCCTATCGAGGATAGATATTGGCCGCTCGATATAGTTCAGGCTATCGTCCACCTAAATATCCTCTAGAGGCACTACTATAGAGTCGTCTACCAAACATTTCTGCAGCTGGGAGACATGAACGGTATTGTGAATCTTGCTAAGCTCGGCCGGAAGATCCAACCTATACGCCGCCTTGCCCACTCGAGCTGCAACCTTGAAAGGACCAAATTACTTGGGCCTAACTTTTCCTGCTTCTTGAACCGGATGACACCTTTCCAAGGTGAAACCTTCAGGAGAACCATACCCCCGACCTGGAACTTTTGGTCCGAATGACGCTTGTCAGCATAATTTATCTGTCAACTCTAAGTAGTCGAAACTAGATCCTCTCTGTTGTACTGATTACCACTTCGGTACTACCTATGACCCTCTGTCCAACCTCTGCCCAACATATTGGGGTCCTGCACTTTCTCCCGTATAACATCTCGAAGGGAAGATAGGTCAATACTCACATGGTAGCTATTATTGTAGGAAAACTCTGCTAATCGAAGGTAGGTATCCCAACTATCACTAAAGTCTAGAATGCAGGCCCGCATAATATCCTCCAAATTGTGGATGGTTCGCTCACTCTGACCATCCGTGTGCGGGTGAAAAACGGTGGTGAAGTGCAGACAAGTACCCAACTCGTCATGAAACTTCCTCTAGAATCTAAAATTTAACCGCACGTCTCTATTAGAATTCACGGAGACCAGCACTTCATGTCGTGCTACTACCTCTCTATTGTAGATGTCAACCAGCTTCTCGGCCGAGATGCTCTCCTAGATCGTATGAAATGGGCCCTCTTGGTCAACCGATCCACGATGACCCAAATGGAATCCACACCCAGCGCGGTCCTGGGAAACTTTGTGATGAAATCCATAGTAATATCTTCCTATTTCCACATAGGGATATCCAATGGATGTGTCTTTCCATGAGGCATCTGCTGCTCGCCCTTGACCTTCCTACACGTCAGGCACCTCTCGACGTACCATGCTACATCCCGCTTCATGCAGGGCCACCAGTAATCATGATGAATATCTATATACATCTTCGTCACCCCGAGATGGATGGAAAACATGGACTTGTGGGACTCATCCATCAAAATCTGTCATACTCCACCCTAGTACAGAACCTAGACCCTCCCATCCAGGGCCATCAACTCGTGGCTGTCATAGTCAAATGAGGCCACCTGTCCTATGATCCGCTCGCAGTTTGGCGCTCCTCCTTCAAACCCTCAACTTGCGCCTCGTGGACCCACTCCAAAACTGGAGTCACCACTGTCATCTTCAAGAAAATGTCTCTGATCAGGGCTTCCTTGCGACTAAGCGCATCAGCCTAATGTTAGCCCTCCCGGGTGGTAGAGGATCTCACAATCGTAATCTTTCACCACACCTAGCCACCAACGCTGCCTCATGTTCAGATTCGGCTGATCCATGAGGTACCTCAAAATCTTGTGGTTTGTGTAAACGGTACATCGGACCCCATAGAGGTATTTCCGCCAATTCTTGAGGGCTAAATCAACCGCCCACAGATGAAGATAATGCGTAGGTTAGTTCGCTTCGTGAGACTTCAACTGCCTCGAGGTGTATGCGATAACATGCCCTCTCTGCATTAATATCGTGCCCAAACCTAAAAAGGACACATCGCAGTATACCATAAAATCCTCAATGCCCTTTGGCAGGGCTAAGATCGGCGCCTCGCATAGCCTCTGTCTCAATGCCTCAAACGTGGCATGCTACTTAGTACCCCAGCAAAAAGCCATGGCTTTCTTCGTTAACCAGGTCAAGGGTACGACTATCTTGGAGAAGTCCAGAATGAATCTCTGGTAATAGCCTGCCAATCCTAGGAAACTTCGAATCTCAGATGGAGACTTCGGAACCTCCCATCTCATAATGGCCTCCATTTTGGCCGGGTCGACCAAAATCCCGTTTTGGTTGACAAGGTGACCCAGAAACTGTACCTCGTGTAGCTAGAACTCACACTTGGAGAACTTGGCATACAAGCTCTCCCTCCTCAAGGTATCCAAAACCTCTCTCAAGTGCTCCTCATGCTGCTCCTATGTCTTGGAGTAAACCAAGATATCATCAATAAAAACTATCACAAACCAATCAAACATCGGTTTGCATACACGGTTCATGAGATCCATGAATGCGGTAGGAGCATTGGTGAGCCCGAAGGGCATCACCACAAACTCGTAATGGCCAAAGCGAGTCCGGAAAGTAGTCTTGTGTACATCCTCGTCTCAGACCCTCATCTGATGGTATCCTGAACACAAATCTATCTTGGAAAGCCAAGATGCCCCCTCTAGCTGGTCGAACAGATCATCAATCCTTGGGAGTGGGTAACGGTTCTTCACTATTATTTTGTTCAACTTCTGGTAATCAATACACAAACGATGCAACTCGTCCTTCTTCTTCACAAACAGGATCGGGGCTCCCCAGGGTGAACTTCACAGCCTAATGAATCCCTGTCTAACAAATCCTACAGATTTGTTGACAACTCCTTCATCTCAAGAGGAGCCAACCGATATGGTGCCTTGGCTATGGAGGCGGTCCAAGGGATGGGTCGATCATGAACTCTACCTACCTCTGTAGAGGTACTCTAGGCAGCTCGTCTGGGAACATATCCGCATACTCTCGCACCACGGGTACATCACTCACAGTCGCCTTGCCCGCCTCCTCGGTATCCATAACATAGGCGACATACCCTATGCAACCCTACTGAAGGTAGCGCCTAGCCTTCGCTACTAACCACATAGTTGGTCCATGTTGTGGCCTCTCGCCCTGAATCACCAGCTCCCCCCACTTAGGGTCCTGACTCATACCAACCATTGCATACATTCAATCACTGCCCCATTAGGGATGAACCAGTCCATGCTTGTGATAACCTTGTTCCCACGCAACGGAATAGGAACTAAGTCTACCAGGTAGCGCTCCTCATACAACCTCAAGACACAATCTATGAAAACCTCTGATGCCCATACTGATCGGTCGTTAACAATATCAACGTCTAGAGGGAAATTCAGCATGCCGGAAGACTCATGAAACCTCTTGCTAAGGGCTAGAGAGACAAATGACCAGGTAACCCCCGAATCGAATAACACCTAGACTGGGATATTGTTCACGTGGAACAATCCTAAACAACACATAGAACATATACATAAACATCATTAACAACATATAATGAGAGTTAGGGAGAAGAAAACACACTCCTCACTACATCAGGTGCAGCACGCGCCTCCTCAACGGTTAACTAGAAGGCTTGGCTCCTTACCAATGGAGTATTTTTCTTGCCTGTTCAGCCATCTGTAAGCCGCAAGGTCACTGGAGCTGGTGTTGCCACTGGCGTTCCCACTGCTGCTGTCAATCTCTGGCAATCGGCCTTTTTATGTCCCTTCTGATTGAAGTGGAAGGAAATCAGGTATGATGTATGGAATGGGGTGGTGGGGGTAGTACAATTCTTGCCAAAGTGCCCAGTCTTGCCACACGTATGGTAGCCCGATGACCCTAGTCTGCAAAGCCCCTCATGTGGCTTGCCGCATTTCCCACAATGGCTCCGAACTTAATGGCCCCTTGACCTAGAGTCAGATCCCTTGGGTTTCTTCCCTGAAACCCAGAAACGTGTCCCATCTCTGCCTTCCTCTTTCTAAGGTGCTCGATATCAATCCCCCTCGCCATTGCCTTCGCAATCATGTCATCCAAGGTCGGACATGCCGAGTAGCTGACATGTTTCCGAATGTCAGCTCCTAACATGTCATGATGATGGGTCTTCCATATCTCCTAATCCCCTGCATACTGAGACACCAATAAGGCCCTCTCCCGAAACATGCCGGTAATCTCCACCACTAACTTAGTAGTTTGCCTCATGTCAAGAAACTTCCTGGCCAGCTACTGAAGCTCCACAGTTGGTGCGAACTCTGCGCTAAACCGGGTGACTAAATCTGACCAGGTCATAGCCTCAATAGCTGAGGCTCCTAAAGAAATACTTACTGGCTCCTACTAATCTATAGCTCTGTTGCTCAAACAACCTGCAACATAATGGACCTTCGACCCCTCAGGATAGAAGCTCGTGAACTGAGCAGACTCCATGTCTGCAATCCACTTCATGGCAACAATTGGGTCCTTTACCCCATGGAAGTTTAGTGGGCCACATCCCCTAAAGTCGTTGAAGGAGAGTGTGTATGTGTCCATGTCTAGCTAGATGCCATGTTTCTTCTGAACGACCGTAGGCGATCCTCCATTAGCTCGATAATCCCCTCCTTGATTGACCCAAAAATCAATAGGGCCGCCTCGAGGACACCACTCGTGATCTCTGACGTGATTAACTCGCGCAGTCCCTCATCAACTGGTTCGGAACCCGAAGCCAAACCTGATCCTGATCCCGATCCTCTTGTTCTGTGATGTGTAATCATCACCATTTTGAAACAAAAAAAAAAATACAATTATTTGGGTCATACATAATCTCCAGTGATCCTACCCACTTTACAACTTCCTTGGTTCTACCTTGGCCCTCTTTGGCTCGAGTAAGGATCCTCTGCTTTCAGTAGTACGGGCCCACACTACCTTCCACATCTAGTTAATTAGAGACAAATAGAACTCCTAATAGCAAAAAGCTAGCAACATTTAGACAATGAGTAACTCAAACCAAGAATATCCTATCCAGGTTATCACATCACTGACTACTCAGTACTATCATGCAACTCAATAAGCACATACAACAGTCATACCAGGCATCATCCTAGATCCTTAGCCCTATTCTAGCATGTAGTTGTCATAGACATATAGTAGGCATATACGACATCCTTCCTAGATCCTTAACCCTAATCTAGCATGCATTTCTCATAATCATGTCATATCATAACATAACATGTATGGGCATCTTGGGGAAAACTTACTTGACCTCGGCCGGTTGCACGCATCACACACCTTATTCTTTCTCAAAACTATTTGCTTTAATTTTTGGAAAAACTATTTTCTTGTAAAAAACTTTCAACCCTCGATTTGACTCTAGACACCCCCAAAAGTGTGTCCGAATCCCTCAAACCAAGGCTCTGGTAGCAACTTGTAACATCCCAATTTTAAAGACAAAAAATTTCACTTTCGATATATCAATTTAGAAAATCGTTTATAAGAAAACATCATCAAGTCATATCATTTTATGTAAACCACAATCACATGTCTCAAAACCATATCATGAATATAGTAATAATATTAGAGTACAATCCCAAGAATGTCATAGTGCGGAAATCCTATGTGAGTGTGATGTGCAGCTACCGCGCCGGCTCCTTCCCCTTCGCTGAAGAGGTACCTGAAACAAAACTAGAAACTATAAGCATGAAGCTTAGTGAGTTCCCCCATCACAACATATACCATACATAACACATACTACTAGGCATATCTAGGTGCCTGACCTACCCTGTTGAGCATACATAGTTGCTCAACCTAACCCTGCTAGACATATTGGGGTGCCTAACCTACCACTATCAGACATACTAGGGTGTCCGACCTACCCCTCCGGTTTATCTCAACTGGTTATGAGGAGTATTTCACCCCAACTACTACCACATAAAAGCATAACATAATCATATCGTCAGGCATATTGGGGTGCCCGACCTACCCCATGGTCCTACAGACCGGTCTTGGGGACTATTCGCCCTACTATCACATAACATCATATCAGGCTAGCACATAATCATAACAGATAAACACATACCATAAAATTATCACAAAGAAAATTATCTCTACTATAACTCTTACTAGTGGGTCGGCCTTGATGCCTTCGACCCACTTCTACTGGAAGGTAACTCACCTCAATGTCATGAAGTGTCTGAACTGTCCTCGATGTCGGGATCAACTCCTCTCAACTCCTAAAAATAACAACATTCCTTAATTACCATTTAATACACTTAACACTTTCAAGGTTCAACTCGGGTCAAAGTCAAATTCAAGGTCAACACCCTGGTTAAAGTCAACATCTGGTTGACTCAACTCGCTGAGTTGGTCCCCTAAATCGTCGAGTTCCGTAATCCTCAAAGTGTTAAAAGCTTCGACCCTACTCACCGTGTCCATCAAGGTCTCGTCGAGTTCTCCATCAAAAAAAATCGGGACCTTCTACAACTGCCTCGCCGAGTTCATCCTATGACTCGTCGAGTCCTTCTTCATGCATGATGGCACTTCTAGTCCTGGACTTGCCGAGTTATCCATGAACTCGTCGAATTATTCTTCATGCAGTTGGGACTTAGTCGTGAACTCGCCGAGTTCTATGATCTTCATGTCCATAACGAACCCAATTGGCTGAGTCTCCTTCCAACTCAACAAATTGCATGTTATCAGAAGTGGTTTGGGGAAAACTACGTCCTGACTCGCTGAGTCGCATGAGCGACCCGCCAAGTCCCTCCATGTCCAAAACTATTCATTCGGCCTTAAAGCATCTAGAACACAGATCTAACCTCCTGGGGTCCATATTACATGTAAAGTCACAAACTTTACGTCCATGTATGGGCCTTCAAGCTCAAAAGACCCAAAAATGAGGTCCACAAGGTGCATGGGACTCCCATGGCAATAAAGTTGGCACCATTATGCCATGGGAACCCTCAACGGTTCAAGCTCTGCAGTTATACCCCCTTAGAACCACAAAATCCAGAAAATGGCTCTACTAAAGCTTAGAAATGGTAGAAACTTTCCCTAACTATATATTTAAGAGATAAATGGTCAAGCTTGAAGCTTTTTACCTTAAACAAGCTGGAAATGTGCCAAAAATTATGGATCTACTTGCCTTCTCTTGATCTTACAAGTCTTCTCTTTCTTCTCAAGCTTTTAAGACACACAAAATGATACAAAGAGCTCAAGAACACTCAAAAATCGATTAGGGTTTCATGAGGATGTTTTGTGGGTGATGGAGGCTATAAAGGAGGCTAGTTAAGGTGTTTAAATAGGGTGCAAGCCCTTAAAATTAGGGTTTCATCCAGACAAGCCTACTTATCGAGTCAGGGGCCTCTAACTCACTGAGTTCCAAGGTAAAATGCAATAATTCTTATTTAAAGTATGTAGCAGGAACTAGGCTTTACAACTTTGTAGGATTCACCTACGGCCCATTCACTATCAGGTGTGATAGTGATGACGAAGCGCAAGTCACGAGGGCACAACTCAAGGCCATAAATGAAAATTTTGACTCATTGCTTTATGCTTCCAAGTCTGCATCAGCTGATGATTATTCTCAAGCTACAGTCATGTCCCCTCTTGAGAAGATTAACAAAGTTGTGGGTTCCTCTGCTACTGTCTGCAACAATACGTCCAAAAAAGTCGATAAACTAATTTCTGATGCCACAAATTTCATGAATAAGTTCCAAAACTCCTTTGAGTCCAACACAGTGAAAGCTAATGAAGCCATCTCTAATCTCGACTCCTCTTTTAAAGTTGAAAGGGAGAAATTTCAAGAAGTTCGTACTGGCATTAAAACTAACCATGACGTGTTCAAATCCTCTATCTCCTCACAAATATCCAAGCTTCAAGATGAGCTCGCAATGGAGAGTAAGATAATGGATACTCTTGTGGTCAAAACCGAAAACTGAAATTTCTGACTGTTAAACTTGATGTTGCTGAGAAACAAGTCAAGGATCTTTCATCCGAGATAGCAGTTATGAAGAGTTGTATTACCGATGTTACTGGATTGCTCTCGGATATCATTGAGACTGGGGACTCAATGATTGCCATCATAGTTAGAAAGCGTCTTTCTGAAAAGCTCAGGCCTATCTTCGTAATGCCTCACCGCGTATAGGGTGTTCCAGAATCAAGCAGCATTCTGAAACAAGGGGGAGATCAACCCAAGAAGAATTTAGCCAAGCCAATTGTTAAAAGTGAATTTGAGCCTAAAGGCAAACAAAATCTTTTTCTAAAGAACCAATCATTGATAACAACAAGGATGAAGAGCTTGATGAAGACAAAGTCAAAAGGATAAAGGCTCGTGAAGCAGAACTGGATGAACATCAAAGGATTGTTCGAGAGGATAAAGCTAAAGAAAAGGCTGAGAAAGAAGCTCAGGTCACACTTGAAGTTTGAAATCTCTTATTTCCTGTATGGATGCTGCAACAAATTAAGAACGAAGTAGTGGACTTACCAAGTGAATATTGGCTAGAACCAGTGGTTATTAATTACTTTAATTAAATTGGTAAATTGTTTTGCAAGAAAATAATTAAATAAATCAAATATGGATAATTATGTGATTAGATATTAATTTAGATTATTTGTTATTTGATCCCCTTTGTTTTGAAAAGTTTAAAACCTGCCCTCAAGTTTTGAAATTTATGTTTTGTAATTAAAAGTTTAATTTAGACAATTTAAATTTCAAACCCTAGAATTTTACAAGTTTAAAATTCAACCCTATACTAATATAATATTACAAGATTAATATATATATATATATATATATATATATATATACACACACACACACACACACATATATATATATATATATGTATAATTAAAATGCTAGTCTTACCGTTAGTAGGCCTCATTCACGAAGCCGGTCTATAAGGTGGGTATAAGGTTGGTGCCTATAAAATGACACTTAATGGGTGTACACTCACACCCACCGCTTGCTTGATTGGTGGAGGGTCGTTAGCCGAACGGGTAGGATAGGGCAACCTCATCTCCTCATTAAAAGTATAATATGAAATACAAGTAACTACATGTTTTTCAAAATTCCCACATCATCTAAGCTCAAAATCTAATCTTCAAGTCCATGCGATCAAGATCCATTTCTTGTGATTAGATTCATCTTGCTCTTTCACCAAGCTTCCTTTCTTTTCACCGATCCTGCAAAAACATTCAAATGCAATCTTATCACATTATATATTTTGAATCAATGAATAGGAACTTAACGAAGTTAGATAGTGGATTTTACCTGAAGCACAGTCATACACTTTGACTCTCCCATATTTGGAATTTTCAGACTCTTGGAGCTGACTTCTATCCAACGCCCTTTCTCTTGGTAGCAAATGCAGGTCACTTATCATAGAACATCCTCAGAAGCATGGTCGGTTGACTTTCCCAACAAATACGCTCCATTGCTTCGCCAAATCGTTTCTGATTCAGCAGCAATGAGCATGTTAGTTAGGTTAATGAGGTTGTTGTCATGATCCATTATATAATACTTTCTTTTGAACTCATTATATGATTCAGGAAGTGACTGCAAAACCCAATTCACAGCCAACTCATCCGGGAATGACACACCCAACATTATCAACCTATCAATGTGTGATTTCATTTCTAGAACGTGGGCACACATGGGTTTACCATCTTCATGTTTCATTTCCAATAGGGCTTTAGTGATATTGAACCTTTAAATTCTTCGATCTCATGGGTTAGGGAGAATAATTGGAGGAGGTGGAAGAAGTGAAGCATGATTTCTTGTTCCTCGATCGAATTGTGGACTACCATCTTCATGTGGAATGCTTGTTCCACGGAATTTGGGAAGACCATAGTTGTCGAACTTTGACATCTACAAAACGGGAGAAAACGAATTCAAGTTAGTTGATTGATTGAGTTCTTAGTAAATCACCCAAATGAGATACTAAGGTTAGGACCCAACACAATATGCTACAACCTAGAAAAGGGATGTCGTAATCTAGTTGCAGAATATTTGAAGGTAAGTGAATGACGATTCACTAATTTCCACCATGAAAAACAAAAAAGAAATTTAAGTTTTAAATCTATGAAAACTCCTAGATCCTTTGAGATTCATTGAACATTTCAATGGCATGTTTAAATCTCGATATGCCCCTCTAGTTTGTGACTGGGATGCCGAGGATCACAAAGTGGGTGTGAATAACCATGCAAACTTACATGGTGCCCACACATGTTACAGTCACCTATTCGATGTGCTGGTAAACCACATACGCTCCACTGAACTATGACAAACATTGAGTCACTCTTTGCTACCTTTTCTTAGAACCATTTAGTGTGCCGGTAAACCACACATGCTCCACTAACGTCTTCGCAAGGGCACAAAGTGTAATTTCATGGAATTGCATCAATTCACTTTTGCCTAAGTAACTAAGATTGGGAATTTGAAAAACATTTAATTACTTTGTATTTCATTATACTTGTAATGGAAGGTTTCGTCCTATCCTACCTATTCGGCTAATGACCTCCACTAGTCAAGAGTGCGGTGGGTAAGAGTGGATAACCATTCAATCGTCATTTTATAGGCAATTTCCTTAAACACCCCTTATAGACCAGCTTCGTAAATGAGGCCTACTAATGGTAAGACTGACTTTTACTCACACATATATATAATGTTAGACTTTTAATGTTATATACATAGTATAGGATGTATTTTACACTTTTAAAATACTAGGTGGTCAAATTTAATAATTATACTATTAATTCAATTAAATTGCAAACCAAAACTGTTATGGATCTATTAAACATCTTTTAATTATACACCTTAATTAATTAATAAAACCATAAGGGTGAGAATTGAACTTTTCAAAACATTACTAGGGTTTTAGAATTTAACATTCCTAATTAAACTTTTAATCAACTTTTAAATTCCAAAACTTGAGGGCAAGTTTTGAAACATATCAAAACATTAGGGTTTCAACTATTTAAATTTCAAAACAACAAAACTTTTGGGTTCAAATTTAAACTATAAAACCTAAAGGGGAAAATATGAAACTTTTCATAACAAAAAGGATCAAATAACAAATAATCTAAATTAACATTTAACTACATAATTATCCATATTTGATTTATTTAATGATTTCTTGCAAAACAATTTACCAATTTAATCAAAATAATTAATCAATTATCGCATAAGGAAACAAATATTTTATTTATTGATAAATATCTTCAATTAGATCAAGAATATAGTCAAATATATCATAAAATCGGATTTATATTGATCTAATATGATAAGGCAACTATCCCTAAGCAAAAACAGCAAGAAATCCCGAAGTTTGCTCCATCTGACGAGTTGACTCGTCGAGTCAAGCATGGACTCATCGAGTCAGCATGGACTCGGTAAGTCCAGCCCCCAGAAACACAAAAAAAAATGAATTTTTCAAGCATATAATGCATCAATACAATAGATGTGACATCCCCAAAATCTCGGCCAGAAAAGACCGATTTTCATTTATGCTTTTAAATATTTTCAGAGTAAATCCTTATGATTTGAAAGAGTTGCGGAATTTGTTCCCAAAAACAAAACATGATAAAACAATGTTTACCGAAGCATTTCATAAAAGAAATGTATTTTCATTATAATCAAAACTCGGGGTGTCATATTCCGATATAGACCAATAAGCATAAGCGATAACATTACAAGTCATTCAACAAATATTTACATATACAGACTTGTAAACAAAACAACTTGATGGTTCATCCATCTTACGCCCTTGCGCCACTTCCTGTAATACAAATAAAACTGAGTGGGTCAGGCTTGGGAGCCTGGTGAGCATATGGGGTTTTCAACCCACAATAAATAATTAAATTAATTATCAACCAACAATAACCCAGTTACCCATTCCCGTTATTCTCACTTTATGTCCCTAAAATAACTAACACAAGGGACCTAATCTAAGAATATTTTCATCAGGGTGACAACACATGCTGCGGGGTTTCCTCAGCAATATAAGTCAAATAAGGCAACCATGAGGGGGATGGAATACAGCGAATGAACACCCAAGTTCATTAACACCTACAGGTTATGAGCCTGCTAGCGTTCCACTGGACTGTCTAGAAAAGTCTGTGGTCGTCATCTAAATTCCGCTAGATGACTGGATCAAAACAACAACGAGGCCTCTCATCTGTTTATTACACACCAACTATCTACCCATGTTCTACCCAACATATTAGTAGATAAAAACATACATTTTTATACATATTTTCAAAACCTGTATAGCATGCTTGATCAATACATTTTCCATATAACAGATGAGGCACACACACATAACACGTATTTTATATAGAAATAATCATATCTGTAAGATAGAAGAAGGTGAATATACATTCACACACATAACAACAAAATATACACATAACACGTATCTCGTATAAAATACTTTATAGTTATACGTTAGGAGAAAGTAACAACGCCTTCGCACGTATAAACAACGATAAACTTAATACACTCAAACCATACTTGTATTATTATTGCGTTTATGAAAGGTAGTATACACTCACTTGATCAGAAGATGATCGGACAGCACTACGGCTTGCAGAAGTCGTAATCCTCAGCAGATCTGGAAGATCTCTACGAAAATCGAACTTCTCGCGGGCAGAGCTTCGGCTTGGAAACCGCACTTCTCGGGATCTTCGGGATCTTGGGACTCGCTTCGGGACTCGGGAATATTACCGGGGCTTCGGGATGGCTTCGGGGGTAAAAACGCAGAGCTTCGGCACAAAAACGAGAGGAAATTAGCAAATAAACCCGGACCCCTCGCATCCTATTTATAGGAGGCTGTATCTGTGATTTACGCGGGGCGTAATTCATGTACGCGGGGCGTAACGGGGATAAGGCCGGTGACTCCCCTCCCCATGGATAATATCAGCGAATTTTTATTTAAATTAAATACCGAATTTATTAAATAAACTTCAAAAATTCATATCTTCCTCATACGAACTCCGTTTTTGACGCTCTTTATATCCACGCGTAGGTGAGATTACGATCTACAACTTTCATTTAGACTCCGTTGGCTAATTTTGATTTATTTTTTATTATTTATTTTTAGTAGGCCGGGACAGGAAAACTCCGTTATAAAATCATAACTTCTTCATCCGACGTCCGTTTCCGCCTATCTTTTTATCGTTTTACTACAATTAATGAGATCTTCAATTCTCATTTAGATTGTTTTGGCTAAAAACCGCTCGGTCTCAAATCGAGCATTCGGGCTGCATACTGCTAAGTCGAAACTTCGAAAAATCATAACTTCCTCATACGAAGTCAGATTTGGGCGTTCTTTTCATGCACGCTCATGGTTTGACGTACTCTACGACTTTCATTTAGATTGCTAAGGCTAAATATCGCTCTAACATAAATTCACTTTTTACGTCGC